TTATTATTATTATTATTTATTATTATTATTTATTATTTATTATTATTATCATTTATTAGTGTACCTGCAGTCTTGGGTTGAGCTCCAAGAAGTAATAGGTGTCCTCATCAGCATTATATAAATACTCAACAGTACCAGCACTGACATAACCCACCATCTTGGCTATTTTGACAGCATCCTAAATAAAATCACAACAAATTAGTCTAGTAATATATCCTATAGGAATACTCATTGTCACATTGTAGTAGTAAAGTAAGGGATGAGAATGACGACTGTTGTGATAATAGGTAAACAGCAATGAAGAGGAACATGAAGACCTGTAGGCTACCAGGGGAGGGGTGGGGCAAAACTCAGCTTCTTAAGCTCTGAATGACATTGCGCAAAAAGACAATGATGGCAGCATGTTACATTTATGTATAGAGTATGATTATTATTTATTCACAGGTCTTTCCCTTGGGCTTGCTGTGGCATACTCATTGGATATCTTAATTTGGGCTCCCTGTGACAGATTTTCAGTACCATTCATGAACTGCTTACTTCTTCCATTCTCCTGAAGGTATCACTTTTAGATACAGTAGCAGGGGCCTCTTCAATGATTTTTTGATGTCTCCTTTGAACTGAACAGTCTCTTCCAAAGAGAGATACTGCATTGCCGTATTCATCTGCAAGAAGTTGTACTTCCAAATGCCTTGCACTAAAATAAGAATAAGTCACACTTGTCATTTAGAAGAAATAAAAAACATGTATGCCATTATAACACACATTGGGATTAGCAAAAAAAAACAAGACTGATAGAAAAAGAATAATGCATAGCGGAATGCTTCTCAACACTTCATAAGATTCTAACAATCCCCAAGTGCTTTATTGAACAACACAGAATTTATATAATGAAGTGTATTTTTTATATATTTCTTTTATAAGATACAAATTAGAATAGCCATTGGATACAAATGATAAAATAGAAAATGGAAGTGCATGCTCAGTGCTCTCTTAATGCACATGTTCCCAACCAATCAGATCCCAAGATTTATAGCAGTTTTTATCAACATTAATAAAACCATTTCTCAAAGAATTTCTAAGAAAAGGACTTACTTTTCAGCAACTTTCATTACAAAAATGGGTGAGCTTGGAACTTCTATTTGAACCTAAAGAAAAACAGAATTTAAAATATATAATTTCATAATCACAAAGAAACAATGTGTATTTCCAGAAATCATCCATACCCACCCCAGAGAGGAATTTGGAATTTCCGAAGAGTAGGGGTGTCAGAAAAAGAACAATAATTACAGAGTTTGTATGGAAGAAAATTGGAATTTCCGGGGGGTAGGGGGTGTCTTAAAAATTCCTCCRTGCAGGGGGTATGGATAATTTTTGGAACTACACAATAACTATTTCCTAAGGCCCCAACAATTAATAATAGGATTTCCTTACAATTTGATTGTCATTTCTTTACACGTTTTTGATATTTTTTTTTTTTTTTTTTTTGGAAATATTTCATTGCTTACCTGTCGAAAGAAATTAGTAAACTCATCGTCATTGCTGGCTTTACGAATGCCCTTTCCTCCTCCACCTTCTGATGCTTTGATCATAACAGGATATCCAATTGTTCTTGCACTCTAAAATAGTCAAACACATAACATTGAAGACAAGAATGCAAACAAGATTTATTTAGAGTAAACTGCAAGTTAATATAAATGTAGGGCTGAAATAAGTCACGGTCTGGTTGTACAAAGCCTGGATAGCACTATCCAATGGATGTAAATCTTATCCAGTGGATAAATTTATTAATAGATAACAGCATGGACTTATCCACTGGATAGCACTATCCAGGCTTCGTACAACCAGGCATTTGTTTTTGATCGTTATGTTAATTGCCAAACAGAAATCTATTGGACAACCCAACAAAGCAGAGTGACAAAACCTAATGTTGCAATGGGTGGCAAATATTACCATCAACATTGCAATAAACATTATATAAACATTACTTAAAAAACTTATTAATAATTCATGAAGAAAACACAATAGAAATCATGACCATGAAGGTGATTTTATATTTGATATAGACTCGTCTTCATTTGCATAAACTTTAACTTGGATTTTCTCTATCAAACTTGGTTCATTTCGTAAATAATTCTGTACAATATGAGAACATACATCATGAGTTTTCTAAGCCGTTTAATAAACTCGCAGATCGTGTTTTATCGGGTCTAAAACCACTCGGCTACGTCTCGTGTTTTATACCCGATAAAACACTCCTGCTCGTTTATTAAACAGTACATAATCAACTCTTGTTATTGTGGAATCTCGCTATTGCAGTCCAGAGGATGTCCGCTACAACAAGAGTGGACTGTCCAAAAAAGCTATTGTACCTTAAGTCCCTCATTGCTGTCCTGCACACAACCTTTCCTGTAGATATGCTCGGGTACTGTTACTACTATTCCATTCTCTAAATCACTGTCTCGAAGTTGAATCCCTGCAACAAATGATTAATTACAAACTTTATTTAAATAATTTCATTTGGTTTGTGGAATTCAATAAAAAAAATTTAAAGGAATTTGTGATGTTTTTAAGTACACGTATCTTTCATTCATTCAAATTGATATATCTGGTTCTTGTACTTACCACTACCACTCCATGGGAGAGTTGGTATTCCCACTGTCTGAGCTACTATTGATGATGCTATTTTGTCTCCAAGAGCCCACATTGCAGATTCTGGAGGTCCTGTTAAATGAAAAATAGACAAGAGAGTTAATATTGATCCTTTATCGTGGTTCAGGGAATCCCCTTATTCTGGTTCAGGGAATCCTCTTTTTGATATTCTAGGGAATCCCCCTACATTGGTTCAGGGAATTCCCTTATGTTACAGGGAATCCCCCTTAATTGATTCAGGTGATATCCTTTTTGGCATTTCAAGGAATCCCCCTATATTGGTTCAGGGAATCCCCTTGTGAAGTTACAGGGAATCACCTTTTAAGGGGAACAAAACCTACCTATGAAAGTAATGTCATTTTTTGCAAGCAGTTCTGGTAATTTTGGGTTCTCCGATGCATGCCCCCAGCCAGCCCACACAGCCTGGAGAGAAAATCAAAACAATTAATAGGTCACTTGCATTATAGAGTCATTTACTACCTCTACCAGAATCCCTTGAACACTTTCTTTTGTTGAGTTATTTCTCTTAATGATTAAAATGATGCCATCATGAAAATAACCTATTTAACTGCAGAGAAAAAAATCATTCAAAGAATCTTTACAATTTTTACACCTATCACTGAAAGGTATTCTATTTGATAGTATTGTAATGTTCTAGATTGCTTATTTGTTCCCCAGATAATTGGGCGTAATGGGCTCTTATTCATTTGACCCTACTATAAACGTTTTTAGTGAAGTTAGGGCCTTACCTGGACTGGTAATCTCTTAGCTATGTCCAAAATCAGCTCAACATTAGCATAGTTGTGGTTATTTGTACCCCCTGGTACTGGGACATAATGGTCTGCCATCTTTATGAACTCTGCATTAGCCTGCAGGCAAATGGAATACAGGTTCACAGTTACAGAACATATTTCTGCAAGCCACATATCTCTTCCAAGATAGCAAACATAGTGCAATGTCACATAGTTTAGTGCAAACCTCTTTCCTTATGTATGGTTTTGTTTGAACCAAAGCTAGACTATAATCAATCCAGTTTATCAAACTCAGAAAAGGTCGACGCAACTGCCCTGTGTTTCAAAAATCACTTAGTATTTTTGCACTTACCCTCAAGTCCTCAGGTGTTACCATGGTGACAAATTTTATAGCTTTCTCATCCCCAATCATTTCATAAGCCCAACGGCGAATAGAACGCATACATTTYACTGCTGCAATACCATTGTTTGCTATCAAAACCTGAAATATTAAAAAAGTGAATTATGAATTTTAGGCATGCATGTTATAAATTCATAAATTTTATAAATGAATGCCAATTTATCTGACACTGTACTGTAATAATTGAGACTATTAAATAGAAGGATCTCAGACCCGGGGGGGTACTACCTCCCCAACTTGGGTAGGGGTGTGCCGCCAGGACCTCTAAACCCTGACCCTATCCCAGACCTAAAATTTTGATTTTACGTACCCTACCCCAGACTAAAACTAAGAATTGTACACCCTATCCCAGACTAAGCCCGGTTAGTCAATAGATTGCAATCAATATTTGCTAACGTTTTTATTGTTTTTGTGCCGTCAGAAAGYGTAGTCTATTCGCCAGACAAAAACGACCAAATCGTAACCCTATCCCAGACAAAATGCCAAAAAAATGATACCCTACCCCAGACCCAAAAGCCGAAAAACCATACCCTATAGGGCGACACATACCCGTATAGCCAATATAGTGGAGTACCCCCCCCCCCCCGGGATCTCAGAGTGGGAACTAGAGGTTGATGTTGTCATTAGTCAGAATAGCTACAGTAAACAAACCTTTTCAATCACTCTTGTCCCTCCAAATCGTCTGACAAACTCAGCTGGAGTGACGACCTAAAATTCAAAAATCAACATGCTTGTCAAAAGATAGACCTCTCCTTGAGTATAATGTTTTCCCATTTCGAAACAAGTTTCATTCTCTTGAAAATAATATTTTTGTTTCAGTTGTATACATGAATATCCACATGTCTTTTATATAATATACAACCATTAGTAAAGTAATACTAGTGAAGAATGACGTACACATGCATGGTTTGAAATGGGCAAAAATATTATGCCCAAGCTAAAGAGGTATATCATATATTTGGAAATTAGGCTGCTTGGCTTTAATTTTATCAAAGAAATGAAAAGCAATCAAGTTGCATAGCCAGTAAATCTCATGTAAGCATAGTTCCTGTATAACAAAATATGTAGTAGACCAATACAAGTGAGAAAATGAGCCCCAAACCAAACCAACACCACTGAGACAAAAAATAATATTCTGAGTATTAAATGGCATTCAAACCTACAATGATAGGCTACCAGCTGAACATCAAGGCAAGAATCATGGAAACATAATAACCATGCAATAACCAAAGTTCATCAAATCATGTTATGTGCTTTTAGTAAAATTTAAGTTTCAACATGACACTTCTTTTTATTCTCATATGGCATATATGTTATTGTTTATAATAGCTGGAACAGATATACAAAGCAGAATGAGAATAGCATATTAGTGTCATTATAATTAATACTATCACTTTATGTTAGACAACTTAGATATTTCCAGGAATGCATGACTAAATGAAAAACAACTTTAAACTTTCATTATTTCATTGTATTTCTTCTTCACATCAAATATGTCTAAATTCTGAGGTCAATCTAATTAGGAGAGGCAAATTGTAAAAACATATATATAATTTATATTGCATCTTGGAATTTTATTATTTAGCTAGAATGGATAATATACAAAACAGCATTATGCAACAAAGAGTAACATGCTGATAAATCACTTTGACAATGAATCAGTTCAGGTAAAGGTCCATGAGGGAAGGCTCTGCTGCATGGCAAATAAACTTTAACATGCTTTGAATCTTGAAGTTGAAAGTATCTTATAAGGTAAAAATAGTATTTCGAAAAAGGTTTTGGATATGGTATTAGTAATCCAGCACTTTTTTTAAATAAAGGAAGTCCTAATTTTTTTGCCATCCAGTAACAATCATGTGATTATTTCCTGCAAATGGTCTATTGTTTGCCCAAAAACTGCAGTAATTAAAAGTGAAACACCAGATGTTTGGAAAAATGTCTGGTCACACAAAAATAAAACAATAGGTAACCTAAGTCGTTGATCTTAAACATCACGTCCAACTTTTTCCAGACAATTGAATAGTCTGGTGTTCTGGTATTTGTCAATCAAACCAATGGGATCTTGGAAGATAACAGTCACATGACCGTTACCAAATTTTGCATTTTTTAGCTTTTTTAAAATTAAAAAAAATTTCTGTTCCCCCTTTGAACATCATTGCACCACTACAAACAGATTCCACTATTGCATTTGCCTAATTCTTTTAGTGACTCCCAAGGCAGGTAAAACATATGCATTTAAGAAAGAGAATTTGAAAATGGTTCTGATGGTAGTGGTGCAAAGATGTAATGAAGGATAGGCAATTGTACATGCCTGTTGTATGGGCATATCTTGTTGTACAAATCTTGTTTTTACCTAAAATACATAGTCGTATTTCAAAGTGTTGATTGTCATAATGCTTTCATTCAATCRTAAGCTAAACCCAATCATACATTTGATATACCATTCTGGTAATTCTGGCGTGTGGGAGTGCAAGTGTAGTGCAATGACAAAACAATAGAATATCTATTCATTTTCTATCTGTCTTCAGACAGAGTTTGACAGTAACATCGTATCTAGATTCAATTGCACTTATGAACTTACGTTAAATTCTTTTCCAGGATTGGAGTTGCGATCGATCTTCATATGTATTCCTATGCCATCTTCACTGAGATCAGAGTCTTCCGAGGTGGACATTTTCCTGGCTTGCATCATAAAATACACAATAAGTTGACTAAAAGGCCATGAGCTCTAGCAACCTCGATAAATAAGGCTAAACGTACAAATATCTAAAATTGCAAATATCATTTACGAAACAAATCTAAAATATTTGGGTAATTTTTTGTTGAGAACATTATAATTAGATGTCAAATGTACAAAATGACCTCGGCCTTATTCTGTTGTTGTACGCTGCAAAGCGGCAGTAAAAAATAGTGAGCTCGAATTTTAGAAAATACAATACTCAAAATGTAGTTTAATAGGAAAGCTAAAAGTCAAGCAAAATCGAGGGGTTTTTGACAAGTATTTTTTACCTTGATCTAGGTTTTGTCTTGGTAGATAATCAGGTGATGTCTTACGACTTCTAACTCAACCAGGTTACACAATAATACCCCCTAGAATACATTTGCACGTGCAACACAGGAAACCCAAAACACGGTTGCAGTCCTTTCCATCAGTCTTTTCAAATAAGCTTTGTGTTTACTTCGCCTTTTCTAAGATATCGCAGTTTACTGGGAAAGGGAAGGTCTTAAAGCGGTTTTCGTATGAGTGGCATGCATAAAGTACTACCTACACGGTAAAATGGTATTATTTTGAATGTGTTCCTAGCCTGCGTAGCCTGGGGCCTGAGGAGAGAAGAGAAAGAGGGCAAAAAGAGGGCCGGCTACTCAGGTTAATGTGTTCCCATTGTCGTCCAGTAATTCATCCAATCATAACGCGTAGTTCCCGGGGGGGGATGGGGGGTACTCCCCTATATTCGCTATACGGGTACGTTCTAGAAGGCACATTTGTAAAAAAACTTGCACATTTGTAATAAACTGTGAATTTTGGACCCATTTGTAATAAACTTGCATATTTGTAATAAACTTGCGCATTTGTAATAATATGTGTATTTTGGACCCATTTGTAATAAACTTGCACATTTGTAATAAACT